AGCAACACGAAATGGATTTTTAATTTGGATTTACCTATGCCCTTCGCGATAAGCATCGACTACATTCATGCATATCGCGCCGTTCAAATTGAAAATATTTCACCGAAAAGAAAACGATTTTTGTAGAAAATGTCGCAACGCGAACAACATTATTTTTTAACTCTTCGACTATCCTCCCTTTTTCCCATCATTTACTCCGTACGTAAATTCGTACGATTCAATTTCTTTTTTTATCTTGGTTGTAAATAACTAAGATACAATTATCCGTTTATATCGATTATTTCGCGCAGGTGCGCGCCCTGGTGTACGGTGTGTGTCGTGTATTTAATTAATTATAGTATATTTGTCGTTCCTATATGGTACTATATATAACATTACAGAACTATATACAATCAGAGTAACAGCGTTATTTATTGTTATTGTTATGTTATTATTAATAATATATTAATAATGTTATTATATTATTATAATTATTATTATACTATTATTCTTCTCATTTTTCCTGCTAGCCTAATTCTTCTTTTTCAACAGATCGGCGTATTCGCGTCTTCACCCTATGTTGCTCATGCGTATGTACGAAGTGCTTAAGGCGCAGAGCATAACCCGTTATATCCCATCATGTAATATGTTAATAAAGTCTGATAAAAGTTCGTGAGATTTTGCAATACGGTCAGTTATCTCGTTAATTTAATAGTTAAGTTGTTTTAATAGTTTCCGCTGTTATTTAATATATAAAACAAGAACGAAGAAGAATTAAACCAAATAACTCTGTTATTTTTCATTCTATCATTTATTTCATTAGAATAATTAAATGATCTTAATGCATCTTGAATTATCTGATTGAAAAAAATTTGATGCAAATCTTACACGGGAGTGTTTGAAAAGAGTGACACTATCTTGTTCTACTGACAAATCTATCAATTTTCTATTGACTATTTTAATTCTGAAAGAATTTGATTTTGAGACATAATGGGTTATCTCTAGTTTTTCATGTCTATGTGTGTCTCGTGTATCGTTTGACGTCATTCATATTTTCTCAGCTCGAATTTCTCCCCGTTTTGTCCGATCTCATCATAATCGCGCATTGTCTCTTCTCCTTTTTCTTTCGGAAATTGCAAATATCTCCGTAATTTTGTTAACTTTGTAAATTACGAAAATATTGTAGTTGTAAGATAAATATATATAATTGTAAAATGTGACATTTTTCTTAAAGACAACTTGAACTTCAATTTCATAAGTTATTTACAATTGTTTTGTGATTGTTTTATAGGTAAGTAGCTGATTGATTGGATAATAATAAATCAACTAGAACTAGCAAGAGCCTAGCGAAGTAGATGGTTTAGAGAGTACAAGAAGAACACAGAACACAAACAAAAATTCATCAATCAAATCGTAAGTAATGCAAGAAATCAAGCAAATTAATCAAGAATACTAGTTGGACTTGTTACAGTTCTCAGATTATATTTTTAATTTTTAATTAGTTCTGATTCTGCAATAATATCGCAAATCATAAAAATTACATAGAGAACGCAAAATCTTCAGTATATGTTTAAATGCTACAAAATAAAAGATAAAATAAAAAGTTTAAATATTGAACATTCTTTTGCATCGAAATAAATAAAATATTTTGATAAAATGATAAATTAACAATAAGTTAAATTTTTCAACATATAAATAAATTCTAAGATATAAATAAAAAATTGTTCTCTTTATTCTGCACAAAAATCCTATTTATTAAAATATTGAACATTGACGAAAAACTTGTGACAAATAATAGTTCCTATTAATTTTCGCGAAGTAAACTCGATTTAATAATTTAAAATATATGTATTTAAGTAATCAGAATCTGTACTAATAGTTGTACGCACATTGTTTTACAACAAGATAATGATAAAATAGTATTCCAAATTGGCAGTATTTTTTAAAATTCTAAAGATACTGTCAATATTGTTCGTATTGTTTCGTATTGTCATGAGTAACGTAGTTGACAGAAATTTGATTAAGCGCTTCTTTATATTTTTAAAAAATATTCTTTGGATAAATATTGTAATGTGCGATTATTTCATCGCAAATCGTAGAGCTGACAAATTCGAGCCAGAGAAATAATGTCGACGCATTTTTCGATCTTTATCTTTTTTTCTTCTCCTCATATATAATTGTCCGTCCGGCCACGAAGAAATGCGATGGCATCGCTTCGATTTAATTAGTCGGTTACAAATTAAGCGGTGTTACTATTAAATTATTGCACATTGAACGAACAATTACGTTGAGTTCTCAGACACTGCGAAACTTTTTTTCTCTTTTTTATGAACACTGATAGCCGCCTGGAGATTCATTAAAGTTCTACTTAATTACGAATTAATTCTCTTCTTCTTGTCACTTCTCTCTCTGTTATGTCCATGTATACATGTACATTCGTACATGTACTCCGTATGTTCCGTATATATTTATATACAATAATATGAATATATATATATGTAGGATGCCCTGCTTTTCTATTGCATCTTCTTTCAGCGTATCTTTGATAATAAATTCAATAGGTTTTTATTTAAATCACAATAACTAAGATGAAAAAATTTTTTGTTTATAATGTATGAATATTTTTTGTTACATTAATATTTTTTACTTTAACAATATTTTTTTATTGAAAATGTAATAGTAAATATATAGAAGTTTTTTAAATCGATGAAAGAATTCGCGAATAAAAGAAACGGCAGAGTCACTCCGTATATGCATATTCATTTATTTATTTATTTATTTATTTATAATATATATATATATATATATATATATGTTTCTCTCATTAGTGCCTATTTATTGTTAGTCAAGGAGGAATGTAGTCATAGTGGTCATGTTGGGTTGAGCGAGATAAAGAATCAAGCCAGCCGGTACGTTCATCGTCCGATATCTGACTGACATAACAGGAGACCTTATAATTGGCACGGTGAAAAAATTGGTAATTTTTCCCATGCATCGCTCGGAGTTGAATGATTACGTTTAGCTAGGCCCTTCTTCATTACGACTAAGACGTAATCCCTAAAATTAGGTGGGCCAAGTGTCGTATCTCATCTGCTCTCGCGTCCTCGATTATCTCGATTATAATTCATAAACATCGCTTAGGCTATTGCTCATAGACGAGTTGCAAATGCTTAACTTCTGGTTCTGGTTAATTATTATTCGGCGCTACGCTCAAATCATGTAATAATTCCGAATGTCTATTAGATAGTGTCTATGACGACGTAAACAATCAACTCGCGTTTACGCGTTCGATGCGAATCGTGGATGTCCGTGTTTAGGGCTCTGACGGATTTTGATTGCTCTGAGATCTGTGAATGCGTAAAAATGATGCGGCAGTCGATAACATATTAATGACGAATTGCTGAAAGAAAAAAGAGAACGTAAATGATATTTTCAGAAACTCGATACTTTCTATAATTATCATTAATTCGTTATATTAAATAAATAGTGATAACAAATTAAGTTTTCAGGGGAATATTTATCGTATATCTATATCGTGAATTTAATTCACGCACGCGCGTTTTGCTACGAAAATTACTTTACGTTTAACTCTGCAAGAACCAATTCTATTACAAATGCACAGTTTGCGAACGGGTGAAATGCTGAAGAACGGCAGTCTTTCTGCGAAACTTAGCACCGAGAGAGCTTAATTATCCAGCGCAGACAAGAGGTTAAAATCCGTCAATTCCGCACATTTCATAGGTCGCAAAATGCACGTAGTAAAAGTCTAGCTTAGCCTTCCGTCGGAGTAACGGACATATTTGATTTTGACCTCGTCTGAGGGCAGGAAGGATCTGATCTTCTTCAATACGACCTTTTAACTACAGTATGCAATACATCTACAAAATTCGCTTTTTCAATTGACATTAATTGCATTCCGCAGAAATTGTTTTACAATTGTCATATAAGAATCGAACCGTTTATTTAATTGTTACTTACCACTCTTCATTCGGCATCTTAAATGATGAACGATTGCCACGTAATGATGTTAAATCTTTTATTGCCACACTGAGTTATAAAGCCACTGTCTCTCGGTGGCGCATTCCGACACCTCATTCGACAGCCGTGAATCGAGCATAAGTCTGCCTTCTGCAGGATGACTAAGGATAACATGGGAATCGGATCGAACCGAATTCTTAGGAGATAGACTGAATTCTCTTCGAGTTTAAGGATCGCGTCTACCTATTATCCTTAAACGTACTCTTTCACACAAGCGTAACTATTTTTATCGCCGGATACGCACGCTACGATGATTGTATATGTTCCGGGGCCTCATATCGCTTTATATTGTCACGAGATATGATCCTCCATAATGGATATTTCTAGCGTAATAGAGTCACCCGCATTGTCATCGGTATTGACGATTGACAGTTGGTGCGTTCAGTTTCAATTCGCGGGAATTACTCATATATAGTACATGGTATAATATAATACATACGGTTTACTTTTTTTATATGTATATTGTATGTATATATATATATATATAATTATATATATATACATATATATATATATATATATATAATACATAATATATATATATATATATATATAAAATATATACATATAATATACATCACTCTGTGTGTCCTCCCCTCCGTCGGGGATCAATTCCTTACGACAAACATATATATTGTCCCTGCTTTGCCGTCGTTTACGTACATACATACAAATGTTTATGTGGTTTAGCGGAACATCAACAATTTACTTTATAAGGCCCAAATATTGTGCGCTACTTGTTCAATCAAATACGCAAAAGGAGCTTCTTCTGCAAAAGCGAATCAGCGCCCTCGGTTCGCTCAATGATGCTCGATCCACGGAGGACGCGTGACACAGTTTCGATCGACAATCGGTGCCGAAAATCAACATCATTAAATAGTTACTACAAATCTATCAATTCGTGTGAATTCGAGATATTTCTGCTTGGAGTATTTAGAAATTTTCTGGCTACACGCAATTATTTTATGATACTTATTTGATACTCATATCATTACATAATTATTTATTGCGCTTATGCACAATCTTGATGATTATGTGAAAATTTGATGGTACAATGTTTATGATCGAATCGTGAAAATGTGTGAATTGCAAATTATGCAATATTTTTTATTCGCAAATTAAATAACCAATATCAATCCCGTAAGTTTCACTAACAATATTGCAATTGTTGCAGTTAATAGTTGTGTAAGAAGAAAATAATTGATTTATAAGCAAATTTTATTCGTTTTTAAATTTCATATTACGTTACTTATGAAGTTCACAAAAAATATATATAGCTTTCAACTCTCTGATGTGTGAACTCTTATTTACTCTTATGTAAATACTTTACTTATTAATTCTAATTTATTCGTATCAACAATACAAAGTTCTTTTGTTATACTGTTATTTGTAATGTATTCTAAGAGGCGTAAACAAATTTTGTAAGAAGTTAATATCCAGGTAATATCGCTGTTAGCCAAAATTTACAAATGGAATCAATTCAGATTACTCTGCATTTTTGATTCAATAGAGAACCACATGATGTATTCAATACTTATTGCATATTTATTATATTTAAATTTGCAAGCTGATCATCGTGCGTAAATCCTTTATGTTGATCTTGAAAGTCATTTCCGCACCGATTATCTCTCGAAGAATGAGTAGCATCTCAACGTTCATCCGGCGAGGGCGACCAAAGGCGAAGGTCATCAGCTCGAGCGAGCAATACAAGCAGAAAAGCGAACGTCCTGGACGCGTACACGCTCTCAGCCATAAACCCGGCCTGCGGCTGTTCGGATGTCGATAGCGACTAGGTCACCCGCAAACGACTCGATCGCAAACGACTCGATCGCAAACAACACGAACTTGACAGTATCAGCGACTTCGATCTTAGCATGAGAACCTAGAATCTAGCTGGACTAGGATCAAGGTCAGTGATGCGATCGTCGATTTAGCTCCATTGACGATGCGTTGATCTCGGAAATGCCAGACGAATTCCTAAAACAGGTTCCAGAAAGAGGAACAAGTCTTCCTCGTGGCACCGATCCTCCGCAAATATCGCCTACATCACTAATGATCCCGTACCTCCTTTTCGCTAACTATCGATCTCATTTCCCCTTTTTTGCCGACAATGTAATAGACAGGCAACGTGCGTCGGATAACTATGGGAGATCCTTCGAGTTTCCCTTCTGGAATGCCTTGCCAAATGTGTTGCGTTCGTTCTTTTCTATCTTCCTCTAGATCCACGGCCCTCAAGTAGCGCTGTCAAGGACAATGGACTTCCTGCTGTCCTTGCGACGGCGACCGACCAGCTGGCGGATGGAACTTTGCACGGGGATGCTCGCGGGCGGTAGAGCGGGCTCCTCGATCGTTGAGGTTGCCAAGACCACAGAGAGAGTCGATGATGATGACGACGAGGAAGAGGAAAAAGTGGAGGCGGCACCGCTGTGATGATTGATGATATTCGATGACTGGCCGCGTCGCAGCAACGTTGGTCTACCGCCGATGGACGTCGCGGGCGGCGTTCTTGTCGTCGTCGTCGTCGTCGTCGTCGTCGTCGTCGTCGACGGCACCGCGGACCGTTCTGATGCCGTCGACGACGTCGTCGAGCCTGCAATGAACTGCTGGTGTCTCGTGGTCGACGCTTGTTGCTGGTATTGTTGCGATCTGATGGCATGATAGGCCATGTCTCTTTGCTGGACTCGCGACAAAATGTGCGAGCCCGTTGCGTGATCTTGCCTGAGATTGTGAGGGTTGTCGTTGCTGATGCTGGAGGATGACGAGTAGTGCGAGGGCGACGAGACAGGAGAAGTAGTGCTCGCGATGGAGGAAGTGGTGATGGTGCGTGTGGTGCCGGGTGTGCCAGTGACCGCTGCTGGTAGAGCTGCTTCCGGTGCACCGTTGACCAGCGACTGGACCGCATGGTCCGGTGGATGGCGTATGAGAGGCTCAGGAACAGCGATTGAAGAACGTTGCTGTTTGTCGTTGCCCAAATCGCCAGCGCAGCCATAATCGTAGCTGCAGCAAAGCTGCCCGTCCTACGAAGAGGTTTGTGGGAGACTGGGTTAGCCACGGCGGAGAGAATTTTTTGTTCATAATTATTGACATGGTTTGTCAATTCGGGATTGGAAAGTCTTGGCCAGCATGATTCATGAGAGAACTGGTACCGTAGTAAAAATGATATATTGAAAGTGAAAAATGCAAATATACGAAATGATATGAGTATGAAATTGCTTTGCGATCGTGAACCGATCGTGTGCTCCGAACAAAAATGAATATTTCTTAACTACTATATAGAGTTATTCTTTGCACAGTAATAGAATATCATGGCGTCTTATATTAATTTATTATTTCATTAAAAAAAGACATTTTTGCTATTCTAATATTTATAGAGAGAAAATGTTTGAATCGTAGTAGAAGTTACATAATTAACCCATTTCTTGTACCTTTTATAATATTAGAAATTCATCAATTAGATTATTGTCAATTTTTTGCTCATAAATGACATAATTTAACGTACTTTGTGTTCTTGTTATGTATATATTAAAGAATTTTTATTTTAATAATAAATGGATTAAAATACAATAATATAACGAAATCTTTTATATTTTTCTACGTAATACGACGTTAACAAATGGGTTAACTATCAATCGATTACTCAATGCACCAAGACTTTCCAACCTGTAGTGAGGCAGGTACTTGTCCATAGTATGTAATTCATTGTTTCGTAGAACAATACCGCATCAGTTCCGCCGTGGCGAGATAATAAACCAACGTGCAAGAATCGACCCCCGCTTTACTTCCCTTGAAACTTTCCTTGCGACGTTCCTCGCACCCGCACTGGCGGCGTCCTTTTCTCTCAGTTAAGAAGACGATTTATAAGTGGTCATGATCACAATTACAATAACTGTAAGGACACTCATGCTGACATTCGAAAGGGGACAAAACAATGAATTTCCATAGTATGTCTTTGATACCCGGCGACAAATCTCTAAGTTTCCACTACTTTCCGCTACGATCCTGGCAGGATACTTTTATGACACATACATATGTGTACACAATACTTGCATGACGCTCATTAATATAAAACAATATTCTACAACTCTCTCTCAAATGTATTTTGGTGACGGAATTTCATTTAAAATCTAATAGAAAATCTAATAACGAATTCGATTGGATGCACTCAGTGCGCACTGATACACATTAAAGCCATCGTACACAAAATAACATAAAATAAAAAAAACATGTTAATAAATAAATATAGAAATTGAAATATTTGCATAATATTTACATTTCATTTTTATATTCAAATTAAATAAGTGCAAAACAACAACTCTAATACGCATCAATGTGCATTAGTGCTTTATCGAATTCGCCATAAAATTAATTCTTTTACGTATTATAGCTTGATTCTATGCTATCCTTTGATTGTTCACATTTTGCATCTTTGTGCGAGTCACTTTTATCTTGCCAGAATCGATGCTTGATAAGTCGATACAGAGAAAGAAAGAGATCTCTTGGTGCTTCTACCGAATCTCGAATGCAGATCAGAGGAGGGTGCAGTGGAGGCTTAGGTGCGACAACGACTCTTTTAAACAATAAAAAAAAAGAAGAAAGAGAGAGACGTACAAACAAACATAATCGCGAATCCAAGACGCAGTCTGTATATGTGTTGTGTGCACATGTGTACGTGCGCGCGCGCGTGTGTGAATATATATATATATATATATGTAGAGTGTAGCCACAATAAAAGGAATAAGAAATCAGGAATAAGAAATAATTTCGACCTATCAGAAACTATGTATTCCGATTTCTGAAGATAGATTCACTGAGAAAAATGGTCTGTAATGGTCTGTAAAATAATTCTGATAGTAATTCTGCAGAAAATGGATGAATTTTCTGGTTAAGTTTATTAGAATTCTGATTATTAGTTGAGATAACTAGAATTCTGATTAATATAATTATTCTGATAAAAATAAGAATTATACAAGATTTTACCAGAAATATTCTAATAAATTTAATCAGAAATTTCTGATTCGTCCATTTTCAATCAGAAATCTTTTTCAGTGTTGAAATCGTTATTCCTTATTCCTAATTTCTTCTGTTGTGGCTGCACCCTTACACGTGTCTGCCACCCCGTGCGCCATGCTCCTCGATCGACATGAGAAAGATCTGTCGACCGAAATCGCCTTTATCTCTTTTATCTTTTTGCATGAACGACCGTGCGTCTCGGAGTGTGCGTAAATAAAAAAAAAAGGTGAAAAAGAGAAAAGTGAGAGGAAGTAGTGCGCGACATGGGAAGAGGAAATAAAATATGTTTGTGTCAACGCATGCAAATTTCGAAAACGTGCAATCGATCTTTCCACGGATGAGATAAGATAATATGCCGAGGTAAGATAATATTCTCGTTCGATCCGTCGACGAATTTATTGTGCACGATAAATTGTATAAAGTGCACGATACTGAACGATAAAAAACATGCAAATTATTTCGTGCAGACGTTATTTTTGGTAATGTAAATACAATATTTCAAATAAAGAGCTTCAGATTAAGAGCAGAAATGCGAATGCAAACGAATGGGCATCGTGTTAATCAATCGTCTATATAATTGGGATAATAAAAGTTAATTATTAGATAAATAAAAGTTAATTATAAGATAAGACCCAATACAATGATGTAATAATTCATAACTGCCAAATGTCGAACAGTCAGTAATTTTTAATGAATATCTGAATATCATGGATTCTGTCGAATTAATTTCCAAATTTACTACGCTCTTAAATCTAGAAGATTGTCAACGTCACGTCGAGAACACTTTCCTTCAAATACGACCAAATGCACATGCCCTGTGCTTGTGATATATTTATATATTCTTTAACATTGTCGAATAGTGATAAAGCTTCTGCCCATACAGCACAGATCATTCCAGCAATATTGCAACGTTCCAATATTGCAGTATAATATTGAAAATGTTGTAGCAATGTTTCCGTATATTGAAAAGAAATGGTCTGATTGGATTAAATGGTAATTCTGATGAAAAATGAACGAATCGGAATTTTCTGGTTAAGTCTGGTTAAATTTATTAGAATTCTAGTTGAAATAATTAGAATTCTGATTGATATAATTATTCCGATAAAAATAAGAATTTTAGTAGATTTTATCAGAAATATTGTATTGATCAGAATTCCGATTATCTCAACTAGAATTCTAGTAAATTTAACCAGAACATTCTGATTCGTTCAATTTTAATCAGAAATTTTTTTTAGTGTAAGCTTCTGTGCTGTATGGATAGTAATCAACGTGCGGCGATTAACGTAGTGATAGTACTGATAGTGGTCCTAATAAGTAGAATGTGAAAAAGAAGAAAAGAATTAGTAGAAGAAAAACTATTAACAAGTATATCAAGCAAAGGTGCGAAATATAGAAACTTCAAAAAAGTGAAAAGCAGCAGGAAAGATAAAATATTTGAATTAATAAAAAAATAAGACAGAATTACTATGTAAGTAGACGAGAAGAGGTAGGGGAGAAGGGTCTAAGAAAGCACTCGAGCACTCCGTTAGTCGTAGTACATTAATCAGCACACAATAAAGACAGAAGAGAAGAGGCAGGTAGTAGAGATTATAGGTGAGGTAGAAGTGACGTGATTACCGATGCACACAACACGCGCTATTGCTCACCAATTGGGCGCAGTACGGCACCTGCAAGGATACCCATTGTTAGGCTATATGAGGTTAGTCATCACGGGCAAGATGGCGGGGTTAATTTACAACAGCATAGTCTCAGGCAGACAATGTTTTTCTGGCGCAATTCCCCCTTCTATATCCTTCCCTCGCTATTTATCCTATACGTGACCAGGACCTTTCTCTGCGCCACGTCGATCCACATTCGCGATCGTCGCGGCTTAGAAGATTAATATGATTGGCCTAGGCGCCAGCGGAATCACTCTGTCGAATTCCATTCTGGTGGTCCACGGCCAATCGTTGCCAATGTCACCCACTGATGAAATCGTGCCGCCGCTCTTGATTGAATGTGCGGTCGACTGTCGTCGACCGGCGATTAGGAGATCGCGGATCGGATCGACGGGGTCAAGGTCATGGTACACACTCGATCACTGTGAGGTCAGGTCCGTTTTCTATTCGTCGCCGGGCGGTAAACACTAATAAAATGATCCATGCAGGGCCGACCCGAAGCACGCGCGATCGTGAGATCTCGGCTCAATCTCGGTTTGGCGTATATGTGACGTTACGGATTTATCACGTTTACCATTTTTTATTAACCACAGATTAGTGAGAATTTAAGATATTTTTGATGACGGTGATTAGAAAATTAATTATTGTTAAAAACTTTTGAAAAATTAAGCCGCGAACGTAACAAAGAAGCTAATTTTAATTAATTTTGAAAGAATTTTAATTAAATAGAAATTTTATTTCAATTTATATTAAGGAAAGTTCGAGATTCCAAACACTTTTCAAAGTCTGAAAGATAAAACGACAAGTATGAAACATCATATATATTATTTCATTGTTATGAAATAAACTAAATTATGAAATCTACAAAAAATCAAACTTTATGAAAAATACGAACAAAAATAGAAACAATGTGTGTGTATATATGTACAAACTTAGAATTTTGTAAATTTTATAAATAATATAAATTCTAAATTGTTAAATTATTGATATAATTATCCGTCACAAACCCCATATAATATTGTATTATTTTATAATTTTTGCAACTAAGGTTAAGTTAAGCGAAAAGTTCTGAGATATAAATATCTTGTCTCATATTCAGGATGATAATAGGATGATAAGAGCGAAGCATTTGGCAAAGAAGCGGAACAATGAGTTTTCTCGAAATTCAGAGTTTTTTTTCTGAGATTGACGTAAATATATCGGGATTCTCACGGCCGTGGCAGTATTCGATCGCATTCCATATCTATAATTTCTACACATATGAAGAGTAATATTTTTTCATTAGAAAGGAATTATTTTGCGTATCATGCTCTTCTAAATATTTGATTACATCTGCCCAAAATCTGATTACGCTCAATTAATTGCAGCATTTTTCTTTACATTTCATTATAAGATACTGATAATTTCAGGTTTTTTTTTTTAGAAAAGGACATTAAAAAGGACATTAAAAAGAAATTAAATAAATTCTCAATATTTTCTAATATAAAGACTTGAATGGATTTAAAAGGAGGTAATCATTTTATAATCTAAAAAAGATCTAAGATATAGATTTAATTAAAAAAAATCTAATCTATACTTATTTCTCCTTTTACAAGGAGAAATATACGACGAACGCTGCCACGTGCAAGGCAGGCATTGAAAAACAAATAACATTTATCTTAGGCTAGCTTGGGGACGCCCCTGGATGTGTCTAATAATGTATAAAACTATAAAGTTTGAATAATTTACATTGGTGAGTACAGCGCTGAAATCGTATAATGACAAGGCTAGCATGACGCATTAATGTACGCCGACAGAGAAGATAATATTGATTATAAATTAATCATTATAATAATGGATAATGTAAGAGTTCAATCGAATAAAAATTCAAAGAATTGATAAGTAAATAAATAAATTGTTTGATTATATTAATATGATATCATATAAATATTTTTATAGTGTACATATTTTTTGTGAAATACTGAAGCTTTTATAAATAAATTTAGTTCAATTGGTTAGTTAAATTCATGCAAATGAAAAATCAGATTTCATAAACATTATTCTTCTTTTTTCGGCATACAGTTAATAAAATTTTAGCGTTCAGCTTTGCAAAATCGATTCGCGTTAATACACACCGCAAAAACAAACGGCATACTGCACGAAAAAAAAGAGGACAGTCAGTATATGTACCTTGTACTATTCGAGGATTACTAACTGACGACAAGTAAAAACAGACAGACAGAGAGTAAAAAGAGCGAGTAAAAGTAAAATGATAAATAGATGTTTGTGTGTATAAAATTTTATGTTTGTATGGCGCACAGTTTGATCGAATATGCTAAGGTGGAAATTTTAATATAATGGATTGTAAAACGTTCGAGTATTTATATGATTCGATAATTAAAGTAAAATTAATCTCTCATTGATTGAATATCTTTTTACAAGAAATTTTTTATCTTGAAAAAAATTATAATAATACGCAAAATTAACATGTAATTTAATGATTTTGTTTAAGTACGTTAGTGTTAGAGTAAACAATAATCGTTCTATATGAAAATAATAACGATGATGATGATAGAATGAATGCTAATTATCGTCGTGAAAGAAATCTAATATGAAACGAACGAAAATGAAATTGATACAATTTGCGCGTGTTAATATTCCGCCATGTACGTATACATATTCGATGGATGCCTGCACAGCGATTTTCTTGCATCTTACATTGGCATAGTACAGCGAGCGCAATTGAATAGGCACAAGACAGATCCACGGCTAAATTGAGGCAATATTTCCTTTCATTTACTGACCTTGAGCTCTTGAATTCGCAAGAGAAGTATGATGGGTACTAAGATCTCGTTAGGATGATCTGCACAATGTTTTCATTATGTAATATTGTCGCGTTGTTAACAATTCAAAATCGAGAAAATACATCACCAAATATTTTTGTTTATGATTGAGATAATCTCCTTGAACAGTCACAAGTTACTTGGAAGGCATGAAAAAATACATAAATACATTATCTATTAAGCGCACGTAAAAAATTGTGCGTATATACAACACATTTTATATTATTAAAATTAAATAGAACGTTATTAAAAGTTTATGGAAATGTGGAAAAGCAGATTCTGCAGATTCTGCGGCGACCATCCCCATGTCTTCCGTGCCCATGACGCCCTTCTCCGGCGAATTCCCCCCTTTATCCTATTCGTATCCTTCGGATCTCGCAAGAGATCAGGTCCGGCAAAGACCGGCGATCGCGGGTCCTGCGATGTGACACGTCCGATCCTTCTTCCTTACCTTGCACTCGCACGTGGTGCATTTGTCGTGAGGGTCCTGCCAGGAGCTGCCGCTGTCGTGGATGATGCCGGCATAGCTGCACGGCCGGGGACGACTAGGAACCGTGAACGAGGTGCTGTTCACCAACGCCTCACGAGCGCAGGGATCGTCTTCGCAGCGCGGACAACAATCGCCCTCCTCGGTCACGGGATTCGAACAGGTCACCGGTGGACACTCCATCTGCCAGCAGTCTATTTCGCCGTACTACAAAAGACCGTACGATAATTCATAGAAAGTTCAAAATCAAACTATTATCTTTTTTTTAAAAAAAAATCACATTTTCACGTATGGAACTACGATATGGGGTTTGTGATCTGAAGAGATCAGATTGCTTAAAATATTCCTGTAATTCATTTATTTTATTCACAAGTCTGTCGTGTGGACAGATTTATATTGTAGTTCGGTTTTATTACCAGGCACTCGCAAGTCTGACATTGGTATATCCAACGTTCTCCGCTTCTGAAGACTAGGTGATGGAGCTCTTGATGCCTACAGGATGCGGCGGGGTTACATTGAGGACAACACTTATCCCTGTGGCTTCCCGGTGCGCTGCAGTCACATACGGGATCCTTGCAAGTGATCACGCCGTCTTGGCATGTGCATCTCCTGCAAGGATTTCCGGACGGTGCCAACGTGTCACCGTTGGTAACTTCCCGATCTTCGAACCAGCAACCTAAAATTACAATATAGTAGTGTAACAATTTTTTGTATTTTTCATACAATTCTCCATACAATTCTCGAGCAGTTTTACTCTAAGAGACGAATGTCTTGATTGTAGACGCGACGAGTGAACTCACTGAGTCTGCATTCTTTTCCGGACTCTTCCAGGTCCTTCGCCGGTGGGCATACGCACTCATAGCCGCCCTCGGTGTTGACGCATTTTGCGGTAGGATGACACGTGTGCCTCCTCTCGATCGTTAGATCGTTACACTCATCAATATCGATGCATTGCGTGCCCTGAGTGCTCTCATGCAGGGCGCTCCTGTAGCCAGGCTTGCATCGGCAGTAATACCAGCCGGGCATATTGAAACACGTTGACGATTGATGACATCGATGCAGATCGCTGGCACACTCGTCCAGGTCGAGTTCACAACTGTTGCCGATGTAACCGCGTCGGCAGGAGCACCTTCCGGGTGTCACACATTCGCCACCATTCTGGCAAGTCTGATTGCATACAGCTGCAAAGAAAAAAATACAATTTTACTTCATATTCAGACTTTTTTTACTTTAAAAAATGAAGATACTGCGATTATCTTCTATCCCATATTTTTCATCAAATTTAAATTAAGATTTGATTTTTAATACAATTTAATACAATTTTATTTTTTATCGTTAGTTTAAAAATAATTTTTATGTGATTAACTCTCTCTGAGAACAAAAGAGTCGATCAATCAGTCTTAAAGAGCGATGAGAATATTTTTTCATTTTTTCACTAGTTTTTCATAGTTTTTGCGGAACGATATGTTAGAGAAAAATAAACATTTTTCATTTTAGTAAATTATATATAAACTATTTTTACCATTTTATTTGTTGATGGAATGAAAATACCCCGTTGTATCCATTGTTTGTGTACACATTCGCTCGGAGAACGAACGTTTCAATAAAGAAGATGTGTTCGAATTTTTTTCTACTTTCAATAATTTGATAGAATGTTCATTCAGACGTTTTAAAAATTGTTTCATAAATTGCTCCTAACTATGTGTAAATTCGTTCGTAAAATGGTAAATATTTTTAATTAGATTAGAATAGATTAATTCAAATTAATATAAGTTTCAGTAATAAAAATTATTATCTTTATGTTTTATTACACAATAATTTTTGTTTTTTTGTTTAATAAAATTATTAAAATGGATCCAAGAAAAGTCTCAGAATAATAATAATGTGAGCTGTTGCTTCGAATATTGAGAAATTACTTATTAAAGTATGTTCTATCGATACATAAAGGCGATATACTGTACGTTTGCATGTGAAACCATCGCCGGTATAGCCGTCCTTGCAGATGCAGTAGTAGCTACCATTAGTGTTCACACATGTGGCGTGCTCGTCACACAAGTGCTGACCAGTCGCGCACTCATCTAGCTCGGCACAATTGAACTTGTCCATTCTATAGTAACCCGGAAGACACTCGCATGTGTAAGAGCCGATCACGTTGACGCACTTCGTGTTCGCATTGCAGTAGTGACCGTTCGATCCACCTTGCTGCTTGCATTCGTCCACGTCTGAGTGACCGAGACGAAAAGAAAACGTCATTGATCATATAATCAACGAAGTCATACGAATGCTCGTATTTAACTTATCACATTTAAAAAAAAAATTCGTGTAAGTGAAATGAAATTTCTAAGTAAAATAAGACGTTAAAGAAGATATGGCGAATTTTTATTTAATATTATTGCAAATACTTTTCTTACACAAGAATTATAATTGTAAAATTTATATAAAACAAATTATAATTATATTTAATATTTTAATGTAAAATAATGATGCTAAGGAATATTCAATATATATCACGTTTTATAAAATATAAAAAATTTATTAATTTAATTTATATGTAACAAATTTTTAGTAGCGACGAAAAATATAAGACGATTTGTCTTAAAAAACACTAAAATTCATTTATTAATTTAATTAACAAAAATACATGAGAAGTAAATTACATATTATTAAAAATAAGCAAAATAGAATTTTTAAACATTCATTCAATTAAAACCAGATAAAAGCTCAATGCAATAATTTTAGCAACATTAAATTCGCGCATGCTTTTTATGCGAGAATAAAATCCCAGACTCAATGCGAGGGAATAGCGATAAAAATAACACGATTTTAACTTATCAGAAATTGGATACATCGGATTACACAGTTTCTGATAAGCTGAAATTGTGTAATTTCTATCGCTATCGCTATTCCCTCGCATTGTGTCTGGAACTTAAGTCCGACAAGTCCGGCGGATATACTTCACGCACGATTAATTATACAAGTTAGGTAAGGGTTAGATACCGTGACAGTTAAGACCATCCCCCTGAAAACCGATATCGCAATGGCAGGCATAGGTCGTCTGGAGATTCAGGCAGGACGCATTAGTATGACACTTGTGGCCCTTCGCGCAGTAGTCCACCCCTGGTTAAATTGGATTAGCCATGCAAATACGGAGGTTAGACGATTTGATTAGCGATCTAGCGATTTTAGACAGAAAATTGTCGCTCGATTTGACATCGGTAACCCTCCCATACGTGTGTAATGGACATTGTACTAGCACTAAATTAATTAGATAACAGAGAGTAACAAACTCTCATGAATTAAAGTTACCTTATTCTATTTAAACTAATATAAATATTTCTCTTAATATAACTGTTAGTTTATGATGAGCATGATATGATATATGCGTATTTATTTAAGACCAGCAGAAAGGAAGAAGACTTGAAAGTCGCCAGAAAAGAAATTCCATGCATGAGAGGGTTAGAGTGTTGTTAGTGATACGCAAGTTATGCGAATTGCGCTTTCTTTACTGTTCCGCAAAGCTTTGTTGTTTTTTTTTATGCTTGTCCCATTCTTTCAATCTCGATATTATAACGTGCTTTATTCAAAATTTCAAAATCCGCTAAATTTTAATGTCTGAAAATGAAAAATTTTATAATGTCCCTTTATTTTTACAACGAGAGTTTATGTTTTATAAAAAAGATACTCTGTTGACGAAACTATCAACTGGCTGTTTACAACCGACTTGTATATCTAATATACAAGTATAAAACTTCAAATGTCTTGTCGTTTTGAAAATATGAATTTGAAATCGTTAATATATTTATTACCACGTATAGCTTTCCAAACATGAAAACGTACCTGGGCAAAACTTGCAACATTCCTCTGCCACGCTGAGTTGCTCACTGGGTGGACACGGCAGTGGTGGACATTTGGTGTCAGTGTCGATTCTCGTGCAGGTGAAGCTACCGTCGTAGCAGTTGCACTCGACGCACTGCTTCGGCGAGACCCTTTCGCCGTGATCGTAAATTACGCCATGCAAGTAACATTGTCCTGTGAAGGCGAATATGAATGGCGAGATAAGTAACATGAGGCACGAGACGGAAGCGGACGACTGAACGCGAAACACGCTACGTCAGCTAATCGGTCAGTTGCGTGCGTGAAAGTAAGGGAATAGATTCGCGTAAAAGCGCTGTATTAGAATAATCGAAAGAGTTATTCTCTCCAAGGTGCCAAGAATTTATGCTACGTTCCAAAAGCAAGAAATGTATGAAATATGAATGATAAGCTGAGCAAAAGACAAGATTCCTAGATGTTATGAATCCTAGAATCTTGCCAAAGCTTTAAAAATAAATGGTTTAGAAGTCAATGGTTTAATAAAAGCTTCTTTTTGTTAAAAATTACCACAAATTATAGAGTGTTAAGGAAATATATTTGTGAATTGTGATATGAAAGGATGAGAAAAATAAAAGTATAATATTTCACTTACTGAGACAAATCGGGCAACATTGTCCCTCAGGAATGATGGGATTCTTGCAAGTGACCGGAGTGCAGAACGTAGGTTTACACTCGACCTCACCGTGAAGACAGGAACAATGTTGACAACCCTTTGACCACGATTCGCCGTCATCGTGGATAGTACCATTCACCCTACAGGACTTTTGGCACTCGCACTCCTCCACTTTATTTATCCTGCCCTCTGCAGCGGCTAGCTGAAAGGAAGGATATCCATGAATAATTTGTCTTATTTATATTTTATTGATAAAAGGCAGCAATGTGTTTATTACAAGAATAATTCTTAAAAAGTTGACGATTACTGAAGAACAGTCTGTAAACAAACATTAAACATAAACTATAAAGAAACATTCCATATAATTATACCATAAAATTATAGCAATACATATACCCATGTAATTTACATTTAATTTATATTGATCTCATAGCTTCGACATAAGAATCTGTGTAAACGTACAAATTACTCACCCTACGAGTCAATTCATTGAGATTGTGCATTAGTTGTTCCACAGTATTCTGTAATATCGAAAATTGACCGCAAGTGGGACAAGATGAGTCGAGCTGAGGACACTGGGAAAGATAACCGTGAGGTCCTGCTATTAACTTGACGTCCTGTAAAGCACCCTGTAGTGCAAAAATGATACAGAAAGCTTAGTTCGAGATGTGCAACCATCGTGTGTATTAAGAGAAATATGTTTCAATTAAATCAAATAAAAATTTGGTTATGTTTTTACTGATAAAAATTAAATTAGCAGAAATAAATTCTAAGTATTATTCTAGTATTCAAATTTTATAATTAAATGGTATTGACTTTAAATAAAAAAGAAATAGATACGAGAACAATACGAGAAGACTTATGTTGCGACTTGAAGAGTAAAACGTGCGGCTTCACCTTGAAGAGAAAGTGCCTGACGTTCCTCTGTCCTACCCAGAGTTGGAGCTGCGGCAGGGTGAAATTGGTATCGGGTGGACCAGGTCTCAGCAGTCGCCTGTACAAAGGGTGACAGTCGACTAGCAGCTCGACCTGCGAGCCGCTTATGCTCAGGGCGACCCTGTGCCAGGCGCCATCGGCTAATCGGAAAGGAAACGCCTCGACGTGTACGGTTCCGTCGCGGCGTGATACATAATGAAGTCGAAGCTCGTCCTTGCGTCCGCTGCTCTGCAGCTCCAAATACCTAACGCACATTGCATTCTATTTATTGCTGATTCAATTATTGCCAACTTACATGACTATCCAGAATTTAATCTAAAGCTATCATAAAATGTGATATATGATATTCTGATATATAATTAAATGTTATTATTTTAAACTGGAGTAAAGAACTATAAACTTAAGTCTTATAGTTACGTCTTTTAATACCATTTGATATCTATCGTAAACTCTCTTTCTGTTTATTATTTTATTATTAATATCATAATAATTACAATAATAATTCTGAAATTTTTTATTAAGAGCATCATTCTAATTTACGTTATAATCTGAATTTACGTATCAAGACATTTAAATTAGCTACCGCCACTAATGAGCTGTAGTTACAGGCAACGCGTAATTAGGTTTGAGAAATTTATTGGCCTTTAAGAAGCTTATTGAGTTCTATATTAGTTATAGTTGCGGCACGTTAATACATGCCATGCAATATATATGAGCGTAAGTCTATCCAATTTGTGTCAGCTAGGCGAAAACAGGTAGATCGTATTATCGAAGTACTGACGAAGGATGCAGTATTGAGTTGAGTGCTCCTTCATTTTCGCTCGACAATTGACATACTAACTTCTTTTACAGCCGATGCATACAAAGTTATACAGCAGAGAAGCAATTTTTAACAAAGCGACGAGACGAGAAACAAAATGTATATGTACAATTGTTGCCTGACAATCTCGCCACGGCGATATTATTCAACAATAAAAGTGTTTTATTGTCGAGTAATAATTCTTTATCCTAATTATATGTACCGAGTAATGTAGACATCATTATTTCGAATATAAACGACAGCGGAATTATTGTACTGTATGCATTAGAGTATGATGTCATCAAATTGTAAATGCAGAATATTCCACAGTTATTCGATATGTATTTCGATCGTATTTCACTTGTAATTTCTAATAGTCTATAAAAGTATTTTGATCATCTCATATTTCACGTATAAATATGTATTTATATTTTGTGATATATTTATTAAATAATATACCCGAAAGATTTCTCTCCTCCACACAGTTTATACTACTTTAGCGTTTGAAATAGGTCACAACTCGTAGTTTGTTCTAAGTCCGAAATTCCTAGACGGCATTGCAAAGTGTTGCGGAGCGAATGGGAAGAAATTTTTCGGTATTTTATACCTATTGTTCCCGTGTGCAAAGGCGACGATCGTCCCAGAATTGGCCTCCTCTTGACGCAGCGCGGCTGCTATAGTGAATTCCGGAACCCGCCGGAGTAGCGCGGCCGCCCGTTCGAAGTTCTCCTCGTTCAGTCGGAGCTCCCTCTCCTCGCCTGGAAGTAGTAAAACACAATGATCAGTGCGGCAAGACGGCTGACTAGGCTCCGCAATTCTTAACTGTATATTTAATACAGCACTTTTCTCGTAGGAATCTGTATATCTAGCATATTCAATTCTTTCTAGTTCTTTCAAGTATTTTCTAGTATTTTCAAGTTCCATCCTGTGATCCTTAAATTAGACATATTCAAACGAGAATACAAAGGTATTCTGTATAGCTTTTACGTCATTAAATATGTATATATGAAGATTTTTGGATGTTGAATGTATTCTAGCGATCTATAAGAAGGCCTGTCGCATGCCGTGCTTGAAATCGATGCGGAGCTGATTTGAATTTTTAACCTGGCTGCTTTCAGGTAAGGTTGAACCTTCCGGAAGGCGGTCTGCCTCGAATTTAGAGCACGGCTAGCAACCATTATTTACGAAGCAATATTATGGCAGAGGATATACTTCTCAGTCGCGATAGTGAGAGAGGCGATATTGAAAAATAATGAAGAATTAATCAAGAATACATGAGTTCTTGGAAAATATTTTAGTCGAAGTTGCATATTTATAGTTCTGTTCACTTTGAAATTTATTGACAGAGAGTTCGTGTATTATTCATGTAATATAATTCAATGCTAAGAATTAATTATTCAGGATACCGCTCTTTAACAATAAATAAATATCTTCTTGGACAGAAATATATAAAATATTGTCTATATATTAATATTTTTTTTCACTTAATACTTTTCTTATTATTTTTCATTTAATTTGAAATTTAAATATTCACCAAAGTGTATTAATGTTATGTATGAGTATTAATAATATATATTTAATTAATTATTCAGTTTCAATTTATTTGATATATATTTTTTTCACAGTATCGAGAAAATTTTACTGAAACTTTTTATTATGCCATATTTTCTTTAATCAATAAGTAATGGAGTAAATAACAAGAGAATTCCATCCATGATGTAGCGAAAAATAACAACACTTTCAGTATTACGTAAAATGTCATGTGTTAAAACGGAACAATCGTTTACTGGTTGTAGTAATGCGAAAACTGAACTATCGACTCGGCGATGGACAGTAGAGTACAGCGATGTAGGCCACCTCGAATTTTTGGAGAGTAGTTAGTCGCAGATTCTCTGCGCAACCGTTACGTAATCGTATTGACGCGAAAATTTTATTGTTTGTAACTTCTGGATCTAAATTTCTGTTCACGAAAACACGTTCAACAAAATGAACAATCCGATAGCGGAATCACAAGTGGCCAGTAAGCAAAATATTCTATGAATATATTATATAATCGTTCTTTTAATATCGTTTTATACAACTTTATACAATTCACATACGTTAATAATAATAGAAAGCTATAATATATAATTATTTGTTGCAGGCAAGATTAAGACCAATGTAATATAATTATATAATTAAATATATAATGTATTTATTACATAATTATATGATAAATGAAAATGTTATAAACTTATTTTATTCGTCGTAATTGTCATAAATAATTTGCATTTTAAAACATCTCAGAATGCAATTTACATGTTAAATATCTAAAGATTTACAAAAATAAAATTTATGTTTAATAGATATGTAATAGAAATAGCCCGTATAATTCTATTATTACCGAAGCACGTGATGTGCAAATCGATCATAGATATATTTTGTATTGCATATTCAATTAACACGTCGCGTCCGAATGGTTGCTGCTTGTCCGAGTAGCTATCCATTAGACAGATTAATACGGCCATTTGGCAAATTACACCGCAAATAAGCCACTGCAATCGACAATCCTACTCTCCGTTTATCGTGGTTTCAATATCATCATCATTAAGCGAATCGTATAATGTGTCACGTACAAACGAGAAATCCCGCAGTTGCGCACATATAATTATAGGAATGTAATAGAAAATATCTTTCGGAATTGGGATTTTAAATTTACTAACTTCATCTCTTTTTTTTTCAATTAGATTGCATCTGCGGATACAATTAAACCTAATAATTAAATTTTAAATCTCACTGTCGTTTATCAAATAAATCTACAGATTTAAATTAAAAATTTTAAAATAATTTCTTTTCGAGACTTTTGCCTTTATTTTGTAGATGAAGATTCAACGGTCCATTTTCGATTTTAACGCGGCGAAATGCTTGATTTTTTCTTTTTTTATGAAAAAGGATCCTGTCCAAATAAGGGACACCTCATTACACGACTGCCGCATGTAAAATGCAGTGCCGCTGGCCGGCTTCTCGCGACGCAAAGTGCGCTTCGAATTTCAGATACAGCGCCGGTGTGCACAGAGTAACCGGACACCCGACCGATAATAAAACGTCGGTGCCTTTCTGCGCGTGGGTCTCGCCACCTACGACGACGGGCCGAAGGGCCGCCGATCCGCGGCTACGACGTCGTCGAGCAATTACGTACGCGCACGCTTAATTATAATGTAATACCACCGGTCTAGGCGACCGAAGGAGAAAGGTAGGCCGACCAGCGAGAAAACACCCCTACCGAGCGCTGCTCGCTCGTCTCGAAGAAAATCGTTCCGCGCGAATTGGCACGCACGAGCCAACCCTTGCACTCGAACTGACACGGGCAGAAACCATAATTTGACCGTGAAATTTTGTTTTCGCTACGCGAAGACTGGTTGCAGTTTCGAACAGCGGAAAAATGATCGTTTCCTGTAGGGTAGTTAGTCAGGGTTATTTACCCTTTATATATTTGTGCGTTGTGGGAACAAGCAAAGCATTCGAAATGCTTACGTAGAACAAAGTTAACAAATTTCCCGTTTTCAATTTCAATAAAATAAAGAATGAACATAAATTAAAAAATGAAGTAGATAATCTTGATGTTTCTATAATATTTTCTGATATTCAAGTTGAGCTATCATAATGTTAGAAAACATTTATTTTCTTCTTTCCATTAAAAGTCATAAATTAATAGTAAAAAAAAGTTCGATCTTTAATTTTCATTATTCACGTGATCAAATTTTTATATTATTATCATTAATATAATGTCATTCTTTTATAAGTCAGGGCAACCTATAAAAGTTACAAGTAATCGATAATAAACATAGTCTAAACGTGACAACGCAAAATTCGCGTGTCTCGATTTGATCAATTTATAATAGCATCATAAAATATTTATATAACGATTAAATCTCTCTCGTACTCTATTTTTCTCTTTCTTCTTTTTCTCTCTCATCTTCTACGTTTTAATCGCAAAAATTAAATAAGTATCAAAGAGAAATATTTATTGCTGCGAAACATTATTTTGTTTGGGGTACCACAAAGAGCAGTTAATAAAAAAACTTTGCCAGCTTGGTGATAAATAAAATATGAGGATTCGTGTCAGAATCTCGTAGTTACTTCAATCGAATTGCCGAAATCATCAAATCGTGAACTATCCCTTATCTAAGCAGCACAAAAGAGGGTCGGTAGATCCTATTTTCTAAGTTCAGAGAAAACTCCGACACGTGTCGCTGTATATCATTTTCCTTTGTCCTGCAGCAAATACTTGTTAAGATCCAACGGTTCATACGAGATAAATCTAATCCTAAAGAAATTTCTCTTCCCTATGTGTTCATCCAGAATAATCGAAGTGGGGACTTATTGCATGCGACAGCGAAAGATAATAAAAATGTACAGGAAATAGCGAATATTTCTTCGTTGCTGTCAGTTTTGTTTTCAGTAGATAAAATCAGAATTTTTTTCAGAAACTTGATCTAGTTTGCAATAGAACGATTTTTAATTATGAATCTTAGAATTAAATTATTAATATTGCAATTTTTTTTGAGTTCAGTTTTGTAAACTTTTATTAATCATTAAGAGTATTATTATATATTAGTATAATCGCTTTTCAAGTTCAATTTAAAGTACAAGATAATTCAAATAATTTTATTTTTATCTTCAACAGGATGCTTTTATCTTTATTAGGATATCAATCTTATCTCATTTATTAACTAAAGAGTTAAATTATCATTCTCAAATTGCGATATAAATATAGTCTTTCATCGATCGTCAGTTTTTGAATCAGACCTCGGGGGAATTAAAGCAAACATTTACGACGTAGGCAGAGAAAAGAAACTGTATTACGATTATATCTGGTAACCCTCTAATTTGTGGGGAGGAGGGGGGGGGGAGACAAAAAATTGTGCGTGCAAGAGCGAACGGAAAGAGACGGCTGGAGAGTAGGAGTAGGAGCGTCAAGGACTCGCAGACGATATGGAGAACAAAAAATGGACTCCCCCTTACATTCTCGATGTTGCGAACCACGAAGAGTCTGTCTAACTTCCACGAAAGTACCCTGTGAGGGATATAGCTCGAAGAAGGGCGTCGGTGTAATTGAAATTTCTTTCGGGGAAACCCTACTCCCGCGGCACTTCAACCCCCCCTGCTTTCAGGCCCGCTTTCCGCGGCCGTTGCACTGCCGCCCACACACCCACGTGGCTTGGACACCATCCGCCGCTGAAGGGCGTGGGGATGCCCCGATATAATTGGATACACCATGTTACGGGGTTGAATAGACGACGTGCTCGTCGATGTGAAGGGTCGTCTATTTAACACACAGGAACGTCATTTAACTCCTTCAAACACGATCAATTTCACAAAGCGTTGTATACACATTCTGCGTTGACATGAAAAAATAAGTATAAAATTAAATAATAAAAAACGTAACAATAATTAATAATTATTATTTATTACGTTATACATCAGCCGCGTACTATTTTCAAATGAATTTATTTGGCTGTCGAAAATGCTGTGAAATTGGCAACTTTCTGAAATTCGAGGAAAGAATCGATACTCGTCATAGGGGAATACCCTCTTGGCGTCTGCGAGCAGAGACGACGCGTAGGCGGTGCTATCAAACTGACCTTTCGCAATATCGATTAATCGCACGTTGCATAACCTTCACCATTTTTCAAGGTACTAATTTTGGAACAAGATTCTTCATTGACTTGTAAATTAATCCTAAATCTTGCAATCCGTTATACTGCTACACGATAAAACACACTTTGTATTTGCGTTAAAATCGGTCCTCGTTATAATTTCTGTGTTAAATTTTTAATATATCCAAGTGTTAATTTGTGTTATTTAAATATTTTGTTAAATTGATATACATTTCTTGATACTAAAATAACATAATTTATGCAAGTAAACAAATAACGTAAAAACAATATTTTTAAAACAGTATTTTTAAAATTCTAAGATAATTGAACAAAATGTATTAACTTGATATATTATAAATGTTAATTTTATTGATGAAATATGTTTCCACCATTTGCTTTAAATTATGTCAATGTTATATTTTTGTATTAATTTTTTACGTGTTATTTTTGTGTGATTTCAAAATATATTTATTTAATTAACACAAAAATTTGAATAGATCATTTAGGACATAAAATGTCTTAAATTTAATACAAATTTTCTAACTATATACCATACATGGCATCAAATGTAAAAAATATGAAATTTATCTAGAAAGTACATACATATAGAAATATATTCAACATTTTTTAAGTTATTATAATAATAAACTTTTTAAAATAATGTTATAATATAAAATATAATATCATTACAATATAAAATCAGATACGGAAATATCTTTAATAAGAATTCATATTTCAAGATAATTTGTTTCGCGCGTATTTTATCATCTTTCATATTCTCAATTTAATTTCTGAGGTGAATTTCGTGGCAAAGCTTCGTGGAATATAATGGAGATAAGTCTTGTAAGTTATAACTCAGAGAATGCAATCATCGTCTTCACAAGACATAATAATTGCAATGTGTGCTATATGAGGACTGAGAGGAGAATCGCTCGCGTAAAGAAAGCCCCGATGATATGCAAATTAAGGGAGTATTCAGGTTAAGAGAGCATTATCGAAGTGGCAGCTTCGTGTACGAGTTATGATTTATCGTGTAATATACATATATTGTAGCTTTGAAGGAGTGTATCAAATAAAAGGCTTTATTTCCTCTTACGTCTGTATAGTAATACAACAAGCATAACATGTTTTAATCAATTTTTTACTATTTCGACTATATTCTCAAAATAATAACATTTTAAGTCCAATTTCTAAAATTGTATTTCTTCTAACTTCTAATAAAACTTCCTGTTGAGAAATTAAATTGTCTGCTGAAATTGAATTAGAATCCGTAGAAGAAAAAGCAATGGTTGATTCTTTTTGCAGAATATTGTTCATCAAAATAAAAATATTAAAATAAAAATCACTATTTTCCAAGAATTCTTTTATCAATCATTTACATCAATGATAATGTATGCGCGCAATCTTTTTTAAGGATTATTTTCAGAGGATCATTTAAAAAAATAAGTAAAATTTTTCTGGCTGCGTAATGTTTATTTAGTTTGTGTAAAATAGAAAATATAATTTTATATTTTTGGCTATAAGTCAGTGAGCCGCTGATCTGGTCTATACAATGATTTTTCTTTTAAGATTTCGTGAATTGAATCGAAAATAATAAAGTTGACTTACCCTGAAGATAATAGGCTGGTCTCAATCTAACCAGACCTGGCACCTGCGTAACTCCCTGTCGAGTAGTATTATGAAGCTGCAGGGCTGTTAATAGATCTATACCTCCTCCAGGATCACTTCCTGTTCTTGTTTTCGCGCCGAGGACTATGGTAGTTCCTTCTGTGACCGAAGATATCCCCATCTCTTCTTCTTTCGTCGTTCCAGACACTGAAACAATTAATTTAAAATATTTGTTTATTGTTCATACAACAGTCATTTGACTATTGTTTATCATATAAAAAGTCACTGTAAATTTAATTGAGAGAGTATTGGTGATAAAATGGATAGTCGAAGTGAGGATATAACAATACATGAATGGCTAAACAGTTTATAAATACAAAAATTGAACAATGAAATCGTAACTATTAATTTTTTTATATTTTCTCACTTATTTATATTACGGCTACGCAAAAATTTCTCATGCAAACCAAATTTCAAATGGCAATCAATTATGTTAAAGATGACGTTGAAGACGATACTTTCTTTCCACAACTTCTGCGTTCTGTATTGGCCGACAAAATTGTGTCCAATGCGCAATTTATCTTTATGCAATAAAAAAATTTTTAATTTATCTTGTTCATCAATAATTATTGTGCTCTAATTTTCTTCTTTCCGATTTCGTTTTCGATTACATTCGTTAGCAAGAGAAGATCCCTCAATAAAATTAATCTCTTGAAGAAACTGCAATCAATCTTTTATCGGATCAAATCAAGAAGCTAAAGATAAGGCAAAGGAAGAAGAAATAGAAGAAGAAAATCATCATAGACGACGTAGACTTCTCGAAACGGTGGTATTGATCGACTCTTCAGTCGACGCTCGTTATCGGCGTTTCCGTGCTTTTCCCCGTTCCATGAAGCCTTCAACCCCTTCCGCGAAACTGTCCGTCCCGTAAACAGTCTGTTTTATCTATCGCATCTCTCTCTCTCTCTCTCTCTCTCTCTCTCTCTCTCCTCTCCCTCTCCCTCTTTCTCTATATAGTGAAATCCATTCTGCCTTTGTCGCGTCGACTTCACGTTGATAATGATTGAAGTCCTGTAGAAAAAAGTTTGCTGGTCTGTCCGCTTGCTGTCTGGGCGAACAATCCCTCGATTGGACTGGTTACTTTCGCGATGAGCGACAACCCTTGACTTTTGGTTACGTGAGACACACGCTTGCCAAACCTGATCTTTCCTTTTGACAAGGTGATTGGTGGAGAGAGAACGCTAATGGACAGGATGGATAAAACTGATACGAATTTGATATGTCATATTTATAACAAAGTATTCTATATCAATGAGAATTGGAAAAAGTTCTTTTATCTAATTTTTTTATCTTTTTAAATTCTTTTAAATAATATCTAGATATATATTTTTTATTTTTCTATACAAAATTCCGTTAGTCTAAAAAAATTTATTTTCTCAAAATTCTTTTCATAAAAGATTCAAAGAATATATTTGTAAAAGAAATATTAATGGAACTGCGAAAATTATTGTTATTTCTATCATGTAGAATAAGTCTAATATATTTCTATAGCTTCGTTTTTAATAATTTTTTTAGTTTAATTTCATTAAAACAATTAAAATAACAATATATTTAAATTTAGTAGATACATTGTTGGTTGCTAGTATAAAATCGATTAAACATTAATAATAATGAAAATATGAATACTTTTTCCAATATCAAATGTGATCCAATTATAACTTTTTCTAATAATTTAAAAATTAAGAACTCGTATCCTTTCTGGATAATAGAAATGAATTAATAAAATGACGATGTCGCAGAGATCGGCGAGGGTTTTACAATCGATTACATTCATTTTAATAATGTCGGAAGAAAGAAGTAGAAATGCGAAGAAAATGTAGAGTTAATGAATAAATCAGAACATAAACAGCATTGGCAACATTCCCCGCCAACAGGAAGGCGTACGTCTAAGAGTATAATTTGCTTAAATGCAGTCATTGAAATCTAGAATGATATTTTTAGCCCATGCTAAGAAAACATCAGGCAGGTGTCTGTAAGCAGATTCACGCCGATCATTTCGCGTCCTCAAAGTTTATTTATGCACATATGCTTCTCTTTGAACACTGCAGAGATTCATACATCGCTAGAGGCAAACACATTATACATTAAACTAATGTTCCTCTACACTCTACACTATAAACGATAGATTCAATTTCTTACGAAAATAATCTGATAATACATGTTCTTATTCTTCGATTGAATACAGTAAACTTTCTTAAGAGAGAAGCTAATATATGATAATATGATAATTATACCTAACTGAATCAAATATTTTCGTGCAACATTAATTAAGTTGATTAATTTGATAATTATAATTTATGAATTTTTTAATAATGTTACAACAAAAGCTCATGTTACATTATAATTTATTTATTCTATAAATAAAGTGAGCCAAAGTGAGCAATATGTTGTAAGTGCTATTTTAAAAAATTTTTTAAAAAGAATAAACTTATTCTCTTGAAAACTACTCACTTAAAAAAAATCTGCAAAAAATGCCATAATAATTGAAGATATGAGTAATCAATTTCTACAGATATTTTTAATTAAGTAATTTATTCTAATTTTAGAAAAAATTGTATTAAAATTGTTAAAATTTTAAATCGTTATAATGTATCTAAATCAAAATGCAAGTCAAAACATTGTAAAGCCACATAAAAAAAAGTGCCAATTACACTCACAACATTTTGAATTACATTGCTCATTTTTCTTCGTTTATAGTTGCACTTTCCAAGTCAAATATTAGTATGTAACAGAACACAGCACTTACAACTCGTACAATAAAACGCACTTTCATAATTTTGACACTTATAACATTGTGTCGTGGCACAAATATCTTTATGTTAAAATATATAATGTGGATTCAAGAGAGTTTTATATATATATTAAATATATATATATTAGGTGTTGGAATTAATTCGTAGCGTTTTCGAAATTTCAATGTTAATTAGTTTTAAGATGATTTTATGCATGAATGCTCTAAATTCGTGTCGGTTTCCTTTAATTATACGATATACGTGCAAAGAGAAGCCTTAGAAGAGAGCTTCCTTCTTCCTTTCATCTTATGTTCATAAAAAGAAAAAGACACGCACTTTAGATCCCAAAGGCTTTGGCGACATTCATCAACCAAATCGTCTAGCAAATTAATATACTCCGATTGAATTTCGTTGTCCATACCTAACCATCTGTTTATCGATCCTAATATCTCTAATTTCCGTTTATCGACGTCTTTGTTACATTTTGGATTTTTTAATTATTTTTCTTTAATATAATAATCTAATATCATGATCACAATCTAGTACATTAATAACATCTGAATAGAATTGGAAATTAAATTGTATTGTTTTTCTATTAAAGAAATAAATTATTTTTACTTTTTATGTATCTGAGAATAGAACATTTTAGTCTCATATCGCATCATATTTTAATCGTATTTTTAGCCTCATTAATAATTTTAAAAATAATTTGAAAAATATCTTTTTTTAGTAATACTGTATTATTTGTTTTTTTATAACATTGATAAAATTGTTGTAATTTTTTATTAACCGAAGTTAGAAATGTAGCAGTAATATGATTGCACAAGAAACAGATACGTAAGAGATTCGGTGCTAGAAAACGCGTAAATGTCTCCTAAGACGGGATGACGTTGAGTGAAGGATGAAACGGAACAGTGGCAGACTGCCGGGCGTCGCGACGCCGGTATCGAACCGTACGCGGCATTATCATCAAATTCGCGAGAGAGAGAAGGCGAAAGAGTGAGGGAGAACGCATGACACGTGGTGTCTCTCCTGGCACGGCTGTCACCGTTACATTTTCTGGCATTCATGACTATTACAATTATATCGATAAGACGGCAAGTCGAGCAACATCATCGTTCGCGTCATAACGAAAATTTAAATTTCTCAAAGATTTCTTAAAAATACTTTTGCGCTATATATCGAATCACGCATTGCGCGATATAAAAATTAAAAATTATTATTCTACAAATATTTATAATTCCCAAGGACGAAAATTTAATTTATAATATTTATTTAGAGATATAAAATTCCAAATGAAAAATTAAACTCGATCAAGATAGATCACGTAGTGCAATTATTATGTTTTTATTTTTGTCTATACGTACACGTAAGCATGTTTAATATTTCATGCCGAGGGCAATTCTATCTTTATCACGCCATTCGACATCGGGTCATTAAATCGCACCGGCTGATCGTCGCATGCCGTGTCTTTCATTCACGACGACGATGAAGCGAGGCAGTACCGAATGCCAGAGACTGTATGTGCTCGTTCGAATCGATAACACGCGACGGTCAAGCCTCGCGGAAACCAACCCGTCCTCGTACGACACACGATTCATCGATCGACACCTTCCGTTCCTCTGCGACCTCCGGCTCCCTCGACACGAGACTCGCGGCCGACTCCTCGAGGGGGTCGCAGCCCCCGGAAACGCGGAAGCTTAGAATCGGCAAAACAACCCGGGGAACACCGAGACGTGCATTTCGTCAGCTACGCACGAGCGCACATTGTCGAAATGTTCATTCTTCCGTGTTTTCTGTGTTACAAGACTTCGTGAACTTTTTCACGTTGAAAACATCGCCGTTGGAATTTACGTACAACGATGGGATCTCCTGATTCTTTCATCTCTTAGAAAAACAACGTGTCGATGACAAGCAATACAAATGATTTAATGATATGGAATTGTGGTTATGCGAAATTTTATAGAGATCATATTACCCATATTTTTTTCTTTTTTTTGGCCTGATTAAATTGATGACCAATGAAATCTAACTATAATAGTAAATATGTGTGTGTATGTGTGTGTGCAATTGTTTTATAAATAATTCTAGTTTCTAAAAAAATCGTAAAAGTAAAATTGAAAATTCATAAATATATTAATAAAACAAAAATTATGCTATAATTTTGATATTATTAAGCAGAAGTACTCACGTTTAGAGACACCTTTTATTTTTCTATGCTTAACTGACCTGTTACTATTGTTAACGAGGAGAAACCAAGATGATACTCTTTTCAGTAGGGTTGAGAAAAAACATGTTTTAAACAGTTTAAAACATGCTTAATTGATGTTTTCAATACGTTTTAAATGTTTTTTTTCTAGTACTGTTTAAAGCATATTTGAAGCATTAAAAACATATTTAAAAAGAAACACATGT